CGCCGAGGGGAGGGCGAGGACGCGACGGAGGGGAAAGTTGGGTTCGGGTCTGTTTCGTTTTACCGGGTTGGCTGCGCGCCTGTCCACGCGGGCGCACGAGTTGGCCGGGCGAGCGGGGTCCCCCGCGGCCCCGGTCCGGCCGGCCGGGCGCTGCGCTCGCAGGGTCCCTCCCCGTGCCTCGGCCCGGGCTCAGCGGCTCGGCCTCTCCTTCCTCCTCCCGCCCGCCCGCTCGCACACTCGCTCGCTCGCTCCCGGAGCCTGGATTGATCTGGTCGCGCTGGCGTCAGGGAGTCGGAGCCGCCCAGCCTCCACTCCTCAGCTGCCAATACCCGGCGCACTCGCCCGCCTGCTCTCTAGCTCGCTCACACGCGCACTTGCGCGCGCCGCCGCTCCCGCCGCAGCTGCGCGACCAGGGATCCTCTCCAAGTTCCCTGCCCCGCCGGCGCGAGCGCTGGGCCCGCACCGCCTCCCGCGCCTCCAGCCCCACGCCCCGCTGGTTCCAAGGAGAAAAAACACCACAGCCCCTGCCTCCTTTAGTCCCGGGGGAGCGGTCTCGGTACCTTACCTGCCGGTGAAGTTCCGCTTTCAGTGTTTATTTTTCTGAAATGTTCCTAGAACACGTCCGCCGGGCCCACCCAACCGCTCTATAAACGTGGAGTGCGTTTTGACAATTACCTTTCGAGCCTCGCCTTTTTATGTCTAGTTTCATTGCCCCTCGCTTACTCCTCAACGATTTGCAAGCCCCAGAAGTTGCACGTACCCAAAAAAGATAACCTAGTAACTATGGCATGTGCTTGTAACAAACCCTGAATCAATATGTGTGCTTTATGCCAATTCGGGATCTAATGATTCCAGTTGGTTACCTCGCTGCTCCAAATAATGACAGATGCCACAATAGAACTTTAAATTTTTTTGATCCAGTTTCTACAATCTTTTAGATGACACCAACTTCCCAAAATAAAACCGAACTAGCTCCCAGATACCTGATCTGCGTAGACATTGAAAATATTTTTTTATAAGATTTCATTTTTCTCTTGGCCAGCTCTCTGGGAGCTGGCATGAAATCTTGGATAATTACGATAATGTTGAGTTATGTTTAGAGGCGAATAATTATTCTGAGGAATAAATTTCACATGTACCAAAAGAACCATTACCAGAAATATTTTTTTAAAAATCCAATTAATGGTACTCTCCAATTTTTCATGTAATTTTACACATGCACATTCCATTTAAAATTCTTATTTATTAACTTTTTTAATTTCTGCATTCCATGTTTAATTATTCTAAGGAAATGCAACAAGTCCCCCAAAACACATAAAATACTGTTTATATATAGGTCAGAATATTTCTGCTAATTTCTTCATTAAATGATTTGAGCACTTACAGGTCAATTCTTGGGCCTCATCTTATTTTCCCAAAAAATCAACTTCTGATATAGTTATTCATTCTCTGCTCCTCAAAACAGCAGTTGGAGTGAGCCTTGTTAAATGCCACTCCCATCAGATCACTCCTCTGCTCAAACCCTCCTTTGATAAATAGAATGTGCTATATCCATACACTGGAACATTATTCAGTCATAAAAAGGGATGAGGTACTGACACATGCTACATGGATGAAATTTGGAAACACTATGCTAAGTGAAAGAAGCCAGACACCAAAGGCCACAAGTTGTAAGCTTCCATTTATACAAAATATCCAGAATAGGCAAACCTATAGAGACAGAAAGGAGAATGGTGGTTGCCTTTGTTTGGGGGAATTGGAAAGGCTGGGGTTGGGGGGGGGGGGGGTAGCTAAAGGTTATGGGGTTTCTTTTGGGGGTGACAAAAATGTTCTAAAATTAGTTTGTGGTGATGGTTGCTCAGCTCTGTGGATATACTAAAGCCCACCGAATTGTACACTTTGTGGGCAAATTGTACGACGTGTGAATTTTATTTCAATAAAGCGGTTTAAAAAAAAAAAAGACATGACAACTAATCCTTGTTTGGATTCTGGATTGGGGGAAAAGCTATAAAAAGACGTAGAACTGTTCATTTTTTAAAATCTATAGATGACCTTTCCCAGTGCAGCTTAGTAGCCCCAAATGATAATTACTAATACTACACATGCTACGAAATTTGATCTTGCCACTCGTGCTAGTTATTTCTTTCAATGGTAACAGAAAATTGGACTGTTTTCAAAAGGACATTATTGGGACAGTTGTGAAAACTTGAATGTGGGTTGCATATTAATATCACTGTATCCAAAAAAATCCTCCCTTGGTTCCCCATTTCACTCAAAATAGAAGTTCTCACAATGTGTACAAGATCCTACATGAACTTCCCTTCCCGTTTTTCTTTACCACTGACCTGGTCTACTCTCTCCCTTGCTCTTTCCTCAAGTCTCTGTGGCCTCCTCACAAGTCCTGGGACCACTGGGGCACACTCCCACCTCAGGACCTGTGCACTGGCTGTTTCTTCCCTGGATCTGTGCATCGCTGCACCCTCAGTGCCTGGAGCAGAGTCCGGCACCTGTTGAATAAAGGAATGAGTGAATGAATCAATCTAGCACTGTTCAAGTCCCAAGGGATATGGTGCAAACAGATACAAATCCCTCAGGGGGGACAAATAATGAATAAATACACCAATATGCCAGGTGGCTGTTCATGGGATGGAAGCCAAAGGGTAACAGAGATGGGGAATGGGGGCGGTTGCTGTGTCCATGCGGGTAGGGAAAGCCTTATTGACAAGAGGTCCTAGAGGAAGAGGGAGCCTATCACAGGATCTGCAGGGAGGGTTGCCAAGTGCAAAGACCCTGAGGCTGAGTCTTCTTCCCCCTTTCACAGAAGAGCCGGGGGCCAGAGCCCTGAAGCAGGGAGAAGCTAGCACAGAAAGGAAGGCAGTGTGTGGGCCCAGATGCACAAGGGCTGGCGGCTGTGGATCTGGGAACACAGGGACCTTCTCTTCTCTCTGCTTCTCTTTTCTTGGTGAAATAGCCACGGACCCTACTTCCAGAGAAATGGTGAGGGTGGAAGAGATGCTGGAGGTTGGAAAAGAGAGGAGCACATATGAAACGGTTATCTTTTGGGAGAGTTTGAGAGCAAATGAACCATGGAAATGTGGTAGGATTGCCAGGCAGCACTATTAAGTGCCCATTTGAGGTTAGTGGTCATGAATTTAAAGCAAGGCCAGTCAGCATGGCTGTGGCTTTTCCTCCAGCCTTGGTCGGCCTAAAGGGGCAGAGCTGGGGTTTTGCAGGTAGGTGTGATGGAGGGAAAGAGGGG